GCTGGAATAGTTTCTCAATGCTTCCTCTAAAACCAAGATTGTTTGTTGATAGATATTCAACAATAGATAATAGATGTTCAAGAACACGACACCAATGCTTCTTCTCTGACTCCAGCAATCTTTGATTTGGGGCATCAAGAGTTGTCTGAGTTTTCAACCTTACACTCAGCTCACACCATTTGTGCATACTTTCAATGTGGTGCTGTGCCTTTTCATGTTGCGGTAATATGTGACTAAGATTTTTCCAATCATTAATACCCATGGTTGTGATCTTAAAATTGCAACTATTGAAAAGCTTGCATGGGAAACAAAATAGAGCATCCTTGCGTTTAGAGTACACAAGCCACCGTCTGTTGACAATTTCACCGTTAGAAAGTCTTTTGTAGTAATTGTTTTCTGTGAATTTCCTACCTCTAATGTCTTTATGATATTCAAGAACTTTTATTCTCCTAGGGCCTTGCTCAAGTATAATGGCACGGAATTTGTTGTTTAAAGATTGCGGCCATGTGCCAATGTCATCTGCATCCCATGCTAGTACAGTTTCAGCTGTTGTAATTTCTTGTTTTGTGTCTGCATCTGTTCAAATGATTGTTCTGTGTGTTGTTGCGTTTCTTGAGCTGCGTCTGCATAAAAATTTTCTTCGGCAGTTACTTGATGATCTTGATCAACGTCGTTGTTTTCATGATGTACAAACTTAAGTATAGAACCCTTCTCTGCTTGTGCAGCTAATCCTATTTCATCTTTCCGTTTTCTTTTGTGAGACCCGGAAAGTGGTTTTTCGATACGGCATAACTTATAAGGGTGTTTTTAAAAGAAATAACTGTTTAAATTATTGTCAGATTATCAGAAATATTATTTAAAATAACGACTATAGGATGGTCGTGAGTCTGTGACTTTGAGCTAGTGTGCAGGCACCTCACAGGGCGCTCCGCCACGACTGAGCGGCAGTAGGGCTGGAAACCCATGTCATTTTTACAAAGCCGCTTTTTAGTTTTAAATGTAGAGTGGGCATCAGTCTTAATGTTAGTTACAACCCTCTATCCACCTTACACTGTAACTAGCTCAATGGCATTACCCAGGTTAATACGCTGGGTTTCCAAGCAGCGGGAAAATAGAACCCTAGTTTTACTCCTAGGTAAAGCACAAAGTGACCAAAATGAAGTCAGCACAGAACCATCTCATCTAGGTGAAGGAAGCACAGAAATGTTTCAGGCGTCCTATTGCGCCTTGTCTTTGTTTGGAAAGACATTAGCTAGGCACCACCCTTTGGGCCCGGCCAGAAAGACATGATCCATCACCAACAAAAAAGTTGGACAAAACATTGTGAAAACATAAGACATTGGCTGCCCAACCTCTGGGCTGGCAAAAGCTATCCTGACTCACTGGGAAAAAAAGCAAGAGAATCTTGGTACAACGTATGGTCACTCTACACACGAGTAAGGAGATGAGCAGATTACACTGGTTGGAGGAGGGCTCTATTTCGCAGTAACAGGGCTATAGGAGAGCCAGTCAACATGCCAGTCTACTCAGAAGAATAAATGGACACAAATCTGACATCAGGAATCATAACATTCAAAAACCGGTAGGAGGACACTTCAACCTCTCTGGCCACTCAGTAATAGATTTAAAGGTGTCAATTTTGCAACAGAAAAGCTTCAAAACCAGACTCCAACGAGAAACTGCTGAGCTTGAATTAATATGCAAACTGGATACCATTAACTTGGGTTTGAATAGAGACTGGGAGTGGCTGGGTCATTCCACATATTGAATCTATTTCCTTAAGTTAAGTATCCTCACACCATCTTGTCAACTGTCTAAATGGGCCATCTTGATTCTTGATTGGCCATCTTGATTGGCCATCTTGATTATCACTACAAAAGTTTTTTTCTCTCCTGCTGATAATAACTCCTCTTAACTAATTAGCCTCTCACAGTTTGTATGGTAACTTCCAACTTATCTGCATGTGTGTATATATATATATGTTCCATTCTATGCATCCGACGAAGTGGGCTGTAGCTCACGAAAGCTTATGCTCTCATAAATTTCTTAGTCTCTAAGGTGCCACAAGTCCTCCTGTTCTCCCTTCAACATTTTTTGTTTCTCTGATGAAAACTGGCCCACTCCCTACCCCAAACCAAACTTGTCACAAATAATTGTCAACAACTTAATTTTCTGTTTTTGGCTACGATATTGATTTAAAACAAAATATTGAAATTGGATTCAGGATTGTTAGCAAGCCTTTCTGGCAAACAAAGTTGTTAAATGACATTCCAAATGGCAACACAGTCCTGCTTTCATGCTTGGCTCACTCACCCCCCAGCCTGCTGGTTCAACAGCTGCAGTAGAGGAGGACATAGGTGGAAAACTGCAGGACCCCAAAATCCACCTCTTGGGGTGCAGAGTGGCAGCAGCATCAGCAAACCCTTAGGTCCGATCACACGCCAATGGGAGCCACAGCCAGCCCAACGGACCACGGTGAAGTTAGCACACCCACGGAGCCACCGCAGCTCATCCTGCCCTGCGCAGCTCCCCCCGATGAGATGGATCGCTGCCAGCCCGGGGGAGAGACGCGCTCCCCAGCTAGGGTGACCAGATGTCCTGATTTTATAGGGCCAGTCCCGATATTTGGGGCTTTGTCTTATATAGGCACCAGTTACCCCCACGAGACAGCAAGTGTGAAAAATCAGGACGGGGATGGAGGGTAATAGGAGCCTATATAAGAAAAAGACCCCAAAATCGGAACTGTCCCTATAAAAGTGGGACATCTGGTCACCCCACCCCAACCCCGTGTCCTGGTTTTCACAGATGCTGTCTGGTCACACTCTCCCCAGCCCAGCCAGCTGTGTGTGATAATTCCAATTTCCCCCTTCCCCTTGCACCTCACCCAACCCAGCCCTGCTGGAGGGAAGACGGGAGAGAGGGGTGCTCCATGGGGGGGTGGGGCGGGAGCCTGGATTTGAAGTTTTTTTGTTGTAATATAGCAACTTTCATGTCATGTCAGCGAGAAACTGTTGAATTGGAATTCATTTGCAAATTTGATACAATTAACTTAGGCTTGAATAGAGACTGGGAGTGGCTAAGTCATTATGCAAGGTAACCTATTTCCCCTTGTTTTTTCCTACCCCCACCCCCCCAGACGTTCTTGTTAAACCCTGGATTTGTGCTGTAAATGGCCCAACTTGATTATCATACACATTGTAAGGAGAGTGATCACTTTAGATAAGCTATTACCAGCAGGAGAGTGGGGTGGGAGGATGTATTTTTTCATGCTTTGTGTGTATATAAAAAGATCTTCTACACTTTCCACAGTATGCATCCTATGAAGTGAGCTGTAGCTCACGAAAGCTCATGCTCAAATAAATTGGTTAGTCTCTAAGGTGCCACAAGTACTCCTTTTCTTTTTGCGAATACAGACTAACACGGCTGCTACTCTGTAGCCTGGTAAAAAGGTTAAAGAACAGAGAGCCCCGAAGTGAAACAAACCCTTTTGAAAAAAGAAAAGGAGTACTTGTGGCACCTTAGAGACTAACCAATTTATTTGAGCATGAGCTTTCGTGAGCCACAGCTCACTTCATCAGACTAACATGGCTGTTCCTCTGAAACCCTTTTGAAATGATCCAAACAGACTGTGTCTGTGGGCCCAAGCCGCAAACAATGTTGGGTTTTCTCGGCTGGTGAAAATTTTTGAGATTTTGGCTTTTTAATCTCACTTTGGGATAAACATTTTTGAATTTGTGAAAATATTTGGCGAATTCAGGTCCCAGCGCAGCGCCGCAACGGTCCACTAGGTGGCAGCACTTGACTGTGTGATGGCGTGGGGGTGAAACAAAGTGGCTTTATGCAAGTGTGCTGCAACCGTTCCCCAGTGTAACCCCCTTGAGATGGGGCGGGGCCATCACCCCCATTTTACAGAGTGGGTCTGAGCCTGGAGATTTAGGTCTGGGGTACTAAGAGTTGCCTAGGGGAATTAGACACCATGGCGTGAAATCCTGGTTCTCCTTGACAAATCTAGTGACGTCAGTAGGGTCAGGCTGTCGCCCCATGAAATGTGGCTCATAAATCCTTCGGCTGCTTTGGAAAACCCAGCCCTGTGCTGGACATGGTCCTGACACAGCGAGAGACAGGCCCTGCCCCAGCTGGGATCAGGGTCCCATAGCAGACTAGGAACTACACCCAGCTGCATTCCCCCAGCCACTCTTGAATTCGCTTCCAATTATTCCTCCCCTCCTTTGACTCCAGATCAAGAGAGTGGCCCTGACGCTCATGGAAAGCCCTTGAGCAAGCGTATCCTTGGTTCTATATCTCTCATGCCCAGGCAAAGCCGGGGACAGGTGGCTGTTGAACACATCCACACCTGTGACTACGGCGGAAGCTAGGCTTTCTGCAGATCCAGGCAACGTCACTGTGTTGGTCACACTCGGGCAGCTTCCCCATCTCCCAGTGATGGGCTCAGGCTCTCGGCAGACCCAGGCAGAGTTTCTGCATCGGTCACTCTCGCTTTCCCTTTTCAAGGTCGTCTTCCCATCCCTACCCCTAGAGCCAGGGGCTGTTTTGAAAATGAAAACAGAAATCCCCTCCAGGAGAACAGCTGCTTTGCCAAACCACTGCATCCCAGCCAGAGCCCTGCAGCTCCTGCAGTGAATTCAAAGCCAGAACTCTGCACTCCCTAACTTTGCCAGACGGCAGCCAGGTCCCAGAAATGCATGGCATGTTTCTGGGCATCACCATGGCTGGTAAACACGGCACCAGCTGGTATGGGCTCATTCCTCTGGTCATGTGAGCGATGCCCTTGATGAGGCTGGGGCGAAGTCCTTTGAAGCCTTGTTATTAGGATTAGCAGCGGTGCTAATTAGAGAGAGCCAGCCCCTCATTAGGTGCGGGTGGGGAGGCCAGCTGGCGTCAGGCATCCTGTAAATGCTGCCCTGGCTCAAGGGGTGGCTGGGCGGGTGGTTAAAAGCAGGGCGGCTGGAGGTGGGAGAGGGCTGGCGTTGGCTAGTGTCCTTCAGAGCCGAGTGTCTGGTGCTGATCCCTGGCCAGGTAAGGGATCCGAGTCTCCGCTGCTGAGGAGTGAGGGGGAATGGGGGTGTCTCCAGGGGTGGATGCGGAGGAGCGGGAATTCACTTGCTCCGTCCTCACTCGGCCCACAGGGGAACTGGGCGTGGGTTGGCCGGGCTGGCGATGGAATCCCTGGGGTCTGAGCTGGCGGCAGGGAGCGGGGGATCGTTGTGACTGGGCTTTTGGGGGTGGGGGCGGTCCCAGATCTGACACTTCTGGTGCCCCAGGTGGTAGGTGCGTGTGGGGGTGGGGGTGGGGGGGTTGGGAAATCTCATTCATCATTTCTAGACAGCTCTCAGCTCGTTGGAGAAATGTGTGCAGGGATACAAAGCTATTTGTCTATACACCCTATCTATCTATCTATCTATCTATCTATCTATCTATCTATCTATCTATCTATCTGTTGGGATGGAATGATGGATGGGGAGGGATGGAGGAATGGGGACAGGCGTATATGGGACAGATGGATGGATGGATGGGGGAAGAATGGAAGGAGGGGTGTATATGGGATGGAGGGATAGGCAGGTACGTCTCTGCCCAGTTCCCAGTGCCCACGTGGCCCGTGCCAGATGTGCTGAGGATGGGCCAAGCTGTGGGCACTGGACTCCGCTCCCTGGATTAGTGCGGCGGCCCCCGAGCTGGTTGCCAGGAGGTCCAATAGAGTCGGGCATCAAACCCAGAGCAGATGGCAGTGGGCGGGGCCCGTGGGCGGGGCCAGTTCTCCAGGAGTGATGCCCCTTTTCCCCTCTGCCCTCCAGAGCCTGCAGCCCGTAGCTCTGCCCATCACCGCCACTGAGCCGCATGACGCTGCTGAGCATCGCGCTGCTCCTGGGGACTGCAGGTTAGTGTGTGTCCGTCCGCACCCGCGGGTTTGTTAGTGTACGCACCCACACTCACGTTAGTGTGTGCACACGTTTTAGTGTGTTACTGTGTGTGTTTGTGGGTGTGCAAGTATATGAGTATGTGAATGCACCAGTGTGTGTGTGTGTGTGTGTGTGTGGGCAGAGGTGGGGTTGTGTAGGGGGTGTGTGCATGTAGGGGGGGGTTTGTGAGTGTGTGTCCCCCTGAGGCTGGGATTGTGGGCGGGTTTTAGTGTGTGTGGCGGTTAGATTGGGTGGGTGTGGTGTGGTTCTGAGAAGTGTGATCATGTGAGTGTTCAAGTGTGTGTGTGGGAGAGGGGGTACGCGGTATTGTGTGTGTGACCCAGCGCTGTGTACACACCCCATCGCACACATGGCCGTGACCCAGCGCTGTGTACACGCCCCATCGCACACCAGCACAATGTACACACCCCATCGCACACATGGCCGTGACCCAGCGCTGTGTACACGCCCCATCGCACACATGGCCGTGACCCAGCGCTGTGTACACACCCCATCGCACACATGGCCGTGACCCAGCGCTGTGTACACACCCCATCGCACACATAGCCGTGACCCAGCGCTGTGTGCACGCCCCATCGCACACATGGCCGTGACTCAGCGCTATGTACACACCTGTGATGGGATCCCCGGGGTGCAGCCTGGGATTGTGGGACCGCGGTGTCCCCTTAACTCTCTCCAGCCTGGGCTGTCTCTCACAGTGCCCTGCTAGTGACCAGCAGCAAACCCCTCCAGGTGCTGTGATCACTCAGCACAACCGCATGGGGAGCCCCCACACCCGGCTAACTTGCCTGAATGCTCCCAGAGCCACTCATGAATCACACAGAGAAAGGCACCCGCCAAATCCCCCCAGCTCCCAGCCTTGTACCTCAGGAATAAACCGTCTTGCACTGCTCTAGACGAGTAATGCACATTTATTAATTGGTTCACCACTTCATCAATGGAAAGTGGCTATACACCAGCCTTTGCACACCTGAGCAGATTCACCAAACGCTTCAGGCAAACTCACTGGTAAAGATAAACAGTTAAAGAAGTTTTTTTGATCACAAAAGCTAGATTTTAAGTGATATTAAGTGATAGGCAAAAAGTCAGAGTTAGTTACCAAAAGAAAAGAAAATATCAGCACACAGTCTAAACTCTCAACCCTATTAGGCTGGGCAACATCTAGATTAAGCAGTTTTTCTCACCCCACTGGATATTGCAGTTCATAGTACACAGCTTTCACCCTTGAAACCTGGGCCAGTCTGCTTTGTTGGATTCTTCTGTCTTCTCTGTGTCCTAGTTGCTTGCAGCATGGGCAAGGGCAGGAGAAAGGCCCAACATGGGGCCCCTGGGTTCTGTTTTATAGCCTCAGTCGCATGTGCTTGGAGCACACAAGTCCAGGCATGTCTGGGGGGCATTGCTGAGTTCCCAGGCAAGGCTGAGCAATTCCCCTGGTGTGGCCTCATGCAGGTGAGTCATTGAATTTTAAGTCCTTGGCTGGACAATAGAACTGTTTGACACCTGGCCGGGCGTTGGTTACTTTCCTTGCTGTTGCCTCTGGGGAGCTAATGTCTGGCTGATTCCCCAAATTACAGCATGTTTCAGTGGCAACCATACAACACAGTTCTCATAACTTCATAGGCATTAATGTTACACATATATGGATAGAGAAATGACTTCCAGCAGATCATTATCTTTCCCCTGATACCTCACACAGCCTGATTTATATGCAAGATCACAATTAGATATAAATGAGGAATATGGGGGTTACAGGGCTTTCCCCCAAGGTACAGAATGTCACACAGCCCAACACACACATGGCCGTGACCCAGTGCTATGTACACATCCCATCACATGTCTAGCTGTAATGCCCATGGCTCAGTTTGCATCTACCAAAGGACAAACTGTACTTAGTTTGCTCTTTCGTGATTTAATCCCCTGCCGTCAAGCTCGTGCATCTCCATCTAACAGCTCCCCTCTAGCTCAGTCATCAGTTATGGGCTTGAAATCTACAAAGGGGCAGAGTTAAGGGTACACAGGCAGGGGGGAAGAGTTAAGGATACTCTATCTCGACCCTCGGAGCTGGGCTGGATGCAGGGCTCCCTAGAGGAGCGTCTCTGGCCTGGGCTCTGCAGGAGGGGCAGGCTGGGGGTGGGGGGTCAGGACCAGATGGGGACTCTGGGTGCCTGGCTTTTCTACTCCTGGCTGTGGCGCTGACCTGCACTGATCTCAGCGTAGACCGAGACTGCCTCTGGCTGTGTATCTGGGCACGCCCGGTGCCATGGGGCTCTGATCTCAGCTGGGCCCTGTACCCCTGCTCAACCATCGCTCCCTGCATTGCTTGCCCAGCTCAGCCCCTGCTCTCCAGTACCCTAGCAGGGGTCCTGGGGTCTAGATGGAGATCTGCCACTACGTCTGCATCTTATCTTTCCAGGTGCAGCCTGGGGCAGTTTAACGCTCAAGGGGAACCCATGCCACCCCCACTCACAGCCCTGGCAGGCAGCCATCTTCGAACACTCCATGTACAAGTGCGGTGCCACCCTCCTCAGCAGCAGATGGGTCCTGACTGCAGCCCACTGCCTGACTGGGTAGGTGGGGCTGAGTGTGGGGTGGGGGGGGGCCTGGGATAAGAACGGCCACACTGGGTCAGACCAAAGGTCCATCGAGCCCAGTGTCCTGTCTCCCGACACTGGCCAGTGCCAGGTGCCCCAGAGGGAATGAGCAGAACAGGGAATCATCCAGTGATCCATCCCCTGTCGCCCATTCCCAGCTTCTGGCAAACAGAGGCCAGGGACACCATCCCCGCCCATCCTGGCTAATAGCCACTGATGGACCCGTCCTCCAGGAATTTATCTAGTTCTTTTTTGAACCCTTATAGTTTTGGCTTTCACAACATCCTCTGGCAAGGAGTTCCCAGGTTGACTGTGCGTTGTTTGAAGAAATACTTCCTTTTGTTTGTTCTAAACCTGCTGCATTACAGACCCAGGCAAGCGTAGCTCCCCGCTTTCCCAGTGATGGCTCAGGCTTTTGCAGACCCAGGCAGCATCACTGTGTAAGTGACACTCAGGGCAGTTCCCCCTTCTTCCAGTGATGGGCTCAGGCTCTCTGCAGACCCAGCCCTCGTTGCTGGGTTGGTCAAACCTGGGCTAGCTCCCCCTTCTTCCAGTGATGGGCTCAGGCTCTCTGCAGACCCAGCCCTCGTTGCTGGGTTGGTCAAACCTGGGCTAGCTCCCCCTTCTTCCAGTGATGGGCTCAGGCTCTCTGCAGACCCTGGCAGGGTCACTGTCTCAGTTCTTTTCCCACCTTTTCTCCAAAACCACAAGGGCTAGAAAGGCAATTTTTGTTTTGACAGAAAGCTGAGACCCTGCCAGATTCAGGCCTCTCAGTCCTGGGGTCAGTGTCCTGACGGGTGAATCCAGCTCTTTGCTTCCCCTGCAGCCCCATCCATGTGCGCCTGGGGGATTACAACCTGTATGCCCGTGAGGGGTCCGAGCAGTACAAAGCTGTGGCCAAAAGCATCATCCACCCTGGCTACAACTGCACGGACCACGACAATGACATCATGCTGCTCAAGCTGCAGACCCCGGCCACGCTCAACCGCTACATCCAGCCGCTGGGCCTGGCTTACCAGTGTGCGGAGCCGGACGAGCAGTGCTCGGTGTCGGGGTGGGGCACCACCCTCAACGCCCCTGGTAGGGGGGCCAGGATTGGGGCGGGGAGGGTGGCTGTCCCAGAGCCATAGGCATGGGGTGAGGGAAGGGGAATCAGTGGGCATGCTGCTGGGGGAGAGGGTGCCCAAGGTAGGGGGGTCAGAGGGACTGGAGACATTCGAGTGATGTTCGCAGGCCCCCACCCCCGCACTGGCCACCTCCAGGGAGCCTTGGCTAGTGTGTGAAACAGAGATAACTAGTGACAGGGGAGACTGACTATCTGTCCATCCCCATCCACCCTCTCTATGTCTCTATCCCCATCCACCCTCTCTCTCTCTCTCTCTCTCTATCCGCATTCACCCCATTTCTATCTATCTATCTATCTATCTATCTATCTATCCGCATCCACCCCCTCTCTATCTATCTATCCGTATACACCCCATCTATCTATCTATCTATCTATCTATCTATCTAGCTCCAGATACCTCTATCTCTATCCATCCATCCCCACACACACCCATCTCCCCAGATTGTGGGATTCCAGGAGGAACTGTAACTGGAGGCATGGCAGGGCAGATCATCCCCCGTCTCTTGTGGGCTGGTTCTAACGCCATCCGTCTCGGAGATGGGATACCGGGCTAGATGAGCCCAAGGCTGATCCATCCATCCCAGAGCGCCTGCGCTAACCGTGGCCAATGCGTCTCTTCCAGAAAACATCACCATCATCCTCTACTGCACCATGGTCCACATCGTCTCCAATGAGCAGTGCAAGGCCAGCTTCCCCGGGCACATCAACAGGAACATGCTCTGTGCAGGCTTGAAGGGTGGGGGCACAAACTCCTGCGAGGTGAGGGTGGAAGTGATGGGGCAAAGCAGGGGGCTGGTCTGTGGGGCGAGGGGGTGTCTCTGGGAGGGTCAATGACGGGGTGCGATGGGGTGGCGCAGGGAGCTGGTCTGTCGGGTGAGGGGGCATCTTTTGGGGCCCCACATGTCCTGTCCTCATTTTCTGACACTTTCCCTGTGGGTTCCTCAGGGTGACTCCGGTGGCCCGCTGGTGTGTAATGGGAAGCTGCAGGGTGTCGTGTCTTGGGGCGATGTGCCCTGTGCCTCCACCCCGAAACCCAGCGTCTACGTGAACGTCTGTAAATACCACCACTGGCTGCTGGCCACCATGTGGGCAAACTGAGCCCCCAACTGCTTGGGGCTGGGACCCCAGAATAAACCAGGTGCTACTTCCTTGGGTCTCAGCATCTGTTTTTCCTCCCTTGGCCTGCACATCCCACTCTTCCGCTCCCGAGTGGTTTTTTTCCATCCATCAATAACTTTGATAGCGAATTGCTTATTTTAAAAATTCCGCGCGACATTTTTTTTCACTTCAGTTCCCCATTCCTTGATGAAAATGCTCCAAACCGACCTCTTTCCCAGCGTTCCTTTTGCATTTTCATTTCATGGTTTTCAATTTTCAAGTCAACCCCCTCCCCAAAAGTCTAAAACGTGAGAGCAAATGGGCGTGGGGTGTTTCTCCTTCACTTTCGCTCCCTTTTTAAAAGGTTTCCACTGGGGGGGAAACGGTAGGAAGGAACAATAAACGGAAGGAGTAATTGCCACACAAAAAACCATTTTTTAAAAACCATTTTGCTGGGGTTACGTTGTTGTTGAAAAGCAGGAAGAAAAGTGAAAGATTTGGAATGCAAGATAGAGTATTTTCCCCTGGAAAAAGCAGGGTGTGTGTGGGGGAAATTAACGTAACTTTTTTTACTGGAAAAATGGGGTAAAAAAGTGGGGAAAGTGTAACTCAACAAAACCATTTTTTTCCTGAAAAACAGAATAAAAAAGTGAACGGTTTTAAATGTAACAAACCCTTTTTTCCCTGGGGAAATGGAAAAGAGTGAAAGGCTTTGATCTCAACAAACCCTTTTTTCACTGGGAAAGAGCGTGTGTGTGTGTACGCGTGTGCGTGCCTGTGGGGAGAATTGAAAAGTCGGGAATGCAACATCTTTTTCCCAGCAGAGAAACAGGAATTGAAGGCGGTTTAAGCCACTTTTCTCACTCTTTTACGTTTCTCCCGGTGGGAAAATATAAAGAAGTTCAAGGCAAGGGGGCTTTTTTCTCACCTTTTAAAAAATCTTTGCCTCTTTTTTTTTTCCAGTAAGGGAAGAAATGGGAGAAAATTGGCATTTCATAGATTCATAGATATTTAGGTCAGAAGGGACCATTATGATCATCTAGTCCGACCTCCTGCACAACGCAGGCCACAGAATCTCACCCATCCACTCCTGCGAAAAACCTCTCACCTGTGTCTGAGCTACAGAAGTCCTCAACTTGTGGTCTAAAGACTTCAAGGAGCAGGGAATCCTCCAGCAAGTGACCCGTGCCCCATGCTGCAGAGGAAGGCGAAAAAACCTCCAGGGCCTCTTCCAATCTGCCCTGGAGGAAAATTCCTTCCCGACCCCAAATATGGCGATCAGCTAAACCCTGAGCATGTGGGCAAGATTCACTAGCCAGACACTACAGAAAAGTCTTTCCTGGGTAATTCATTTCCTTTGCTCGTAGCAAATGAAAAGAATGGATTTTGTCTTCTGCAAAATGTTTCATTTTGGAATGTGTTGGGGGGGAGGGATGGGAAGTGAAAAGTGGAACAAAAATAAGGGTTTTTGTGCAAATTGTTGTTGTTTAGCACTTCAGAGGCTCTGAGGCCTGACCTCGGGTGTCACAAATGCCCCCAGATACTGCCCAGAGTCGATCTTTTAGAGAAACATCCAGCCGTGATTCAAACATTGTCCAAGATCGAGCCCCATGGGGAATCGCTCCCAGGGTTCTGGACTCTCACTGACAGACAGTTGAACCTTCTGTCCGGTCTGAATTTGTCTGGCTTCAACTCCCAGCCGCTAGATTGGGTTAGACCCTCCGCTGCGAGCTCAAAGAGCCCATTGTGAAATATTGGGTTCCTTGGTAGATATTGATAGACGGGGAGCACGTCACCCCTGAACCTGCTCTGACTGGAGCGGAACAGACCAAGCCTCTCACTGGGTGGCAGGTTGTCTAACCTTGAATTGTCCGCATGGCTCTTCAAGGGGTGGAAGGATTAGTGGGTTAGCTTGCAACTGTCCCTCCTCTGCTACAGAATTCCCATCTGACCGTGGGCAAATGGCTTCCTCTCCATGGTGGGCTCCTCCTTGCGGCTGGATCTGGGGATATCCAAGTAGCTCGGCCTAATTGGGCTCCCCGCTCCACCTTGGGTCCGTGCCGCGGCCCCTCACGTTCCAGGACTCGGGCGAGGGAGGGGCTCTCTTTGTTTGTGCTGCTATACGGCTTGGCCCTCCAGCCAGGTCGCTGGCATTTTGCCCCTCCTGGGGTCTCAAAGGTCTCTGTACAAACTCCCAGTTCACTGCCTGGACTGTGCCACACCCCCAGGGGCTGGTAGAGGAACCAGGGCCCACCTGTAACTCTGGGTTGCAGCTCAGGGACCCTCGAATTAGCGGCCTGGGTCTGCACTGTCCCAAACTTTGCTTCTCTTTCCGGATCCTTTTCCGTCTCCAGCACCGATCTGGGTGCACCTTTCCCTCCGGGCTTCTCCTTGCCCCCTGGGTTGTCTCCTTTCCCCTCCCAGAGCCCAGAGACTGCCTGCCCAGCTTCTACACTGCAGCCTTGTTATGCCAGCCCTGCCTGCTCCTGTCCAGCCGTGCTCCATTCTCCAGCGATGGTGGCTCATCAAACCTACTCCTCCAGGGGCATTGGAAGCTCCCTAAAAGTGTGGGGTGGGGGCCACTGGCCCCCGAACTGTGGCCCCACCTCTGCACCGCTCCTTTCCCCCGAGCCCCCGCCCTCACACTGCCCCCTCCCCTGAGACCCTGCCCCCCAGTCACTCCTCTCTGCCCCTCCCCCACCATTGCTCGCCTTTATGACCAGTAAAAAGTAATGCATCCATGGACCCCTGTTCCAGTGCCCCCCCATCCCTCAGGTTAATCGGTCCCTTCTGTGCCTCAGAAACACTTTCCAGGCTAGCGTGGGGGGAAGCCCGTCGCCCTGTGCCTCGGTTTCCCCATATGAACAATGGTGATACTAGCTCTGCCCTACCTCGCAGGTTGTGAGGATACAGACATTAAAGACTGAGGCAGCAGATGCCCCAGCCATGGGGATCAGGCAGGTACCTTTACTAGGCAGTGCCTCCCAGTTCCACCCCACATCATTGCTCGGCTCAGCCCAGAGCACATTGGTCTGGCTAGAGCTGGAGCACGAAGACGCTGATTTCACAAAGACAAGTGGCATCGAGAAACAGCAAGTAGAATGAGTGGAGACAAAGGCTGGCAGATAAAACAGAACCATCACGCGCTTAACCAACAACAGGACAGTCCCCCAGCTCGTCCAGGTCAGCTCACCCGATGTGTCTCTCCCAGCATCAGACTGGGACTGGCCGCACCGCTCCGTTCCTAAGACAAGCCAGCTGGCCACTTGTCTCCTGGGTGAAGGATAATGAATGGGGTGTACCCCTGCGATCCCCGATATACCAGCCCTATTCACTGATTTTAGGCATAAACCATCCCCCAGCCTGCTGTGCAAAACATAGTAGGTCCGTAGGTTTTGCGATCTCTTGTCCACTTTTCAGACTCGATTACTGGCGACTTCATGTGCTGATGGCCATACTTTGGAAGACACACAATGCACAGCCAGTGCAAGAGCCTCCTCCCACCTCCCCCAAGTGAACAGAACATGTGGATCACCCGTCTGAACTTACCAACCTTCCAGCCATCACTTTCAGGGGCTGGCGATAATGCTGCACCTACGCACCTTGCACAAGTGTTGCAGTGATCATGAAAACCAGCTTTCAGCAGAGATCACGCATGACCCTCTTTGGGACACTGGTGGGTGGATACCAGACCCAGCTGGCCCCAAGCAACCTCTGGCCATGTTACCCCAAGGAGTTTGAAAGCAGAATGCAAGAATGGAGACAATGGGTGGACTCAAACTGGGGAGCTGTGATGTTCCCCTCTCTGGTGTTATCCGGACCAGTGATCTGCTAGGTCACTCCAATCCTTGACTCTGGGAGCCAGCCTTACCCTGCTCTGCTGTGAGAACCCCCACTCCTGGGTTGTTCACGCACAGCCTCTGGCATGTGAGCTGCTCCTTGGATTGTGCAACCAAATGACACTAGCCAATATCTCCAGTCCCACACACAACCCTAGGAACCTCCATCTTCCAGTGTCCAGTTATGCCCACTGGACATTGCAAGCTTATATGAGTTCATCAATTTAACAAAGAAATTGATATGTACCAGGCTTGTTATCCCAAGGGGAGTCTCTAACATGCTTCAAACCAAACGCACTGCTTCAGATAGAATAAACTGATTTATTAACTGTGAAAGATAGATTTTAAGTGATTATAAGTCAAAACGTAACAAGTCAGAGTGGTTACCAAAATAAAATAAAATATAAGCACGTAGTCTAAACTCTCAACCCCATTAGACTGGGCAGCAACTAAATTAAGCAGCTTTTCTCACCCCACTGGTATTGCAGTCCTTAATATACAGGTTTGTTCCTTAAACCTGGGCCAATCTCCTCTGTTGGAGTCTTGTCTTCTTCTCAGTGTCTTGGTTGCTTGCAGCATAGGTGGGGGCAGCAGAAGGGCCCAGCGTCTTTCCATTTTGTCTGTTTTATACCCTCAGTCCATGTGCTTGGGGGGCACAAGTCCAGGCATGTCTGGGGGGGCATTGCTTAGTCTCTCCAAGCAAGGTTGAGCAATTATTCTGGTGGGGCCTCATGCAGGTGAGTCATTACATTGTAGCTCCCTTGTTGGACAATGGCTGTTGATGGGTTGTTTGACACCCTGCCCGGGCGTTGGTTACTTTCCTGGCTGTTGTCTCTGGAGAGCTAATATCTGGCTGATTCCCCAATTTACAGCATGCTTTAGGGACCACCATACAACACAATTCTCATAACTTCATATGCATTAATGATAGACATATATGGACAGAGAAATGACTTTCAGCAGATCATAGCCTTTCCCCTGATACCTTACAAGGCGTGCTTTATATGTAAGATCATGATTCTATGAAAATGAGGCATATGGGGGTTACAGTACACTCCCCCAAGGTGTAGAACGTCACAGGAGCACAACGAAACAATAGTTTCCCTGGCTCCAATTTGCTCTGTTTCCCCGGATTGGCCTCAACGAGGCCTGGGAGATTGGCAGAGGCGCTTCCAGCAGGCAGCCCAAGACCTGG